TATTCACTGAACTTCTTGAAACTTAGCACTGAAGGGTTGATTCTGTATTCATAGGTTTGTAGAAGTTAGGATTAAGGTCTTTTTCTTAACTCTGTTCATGTTATAACATTTTTGCTGTGAAGAAGAGGCATGTGATCTCCGCTGAGTCAAATTCAGTTTTGAGAACTGCAAACGTAAACCAAGCATCTGTGATAATATCTTGTAGGCAGAGAAACTGCCCAATAATCTTACAAAAACCTCTGGAAGAGCATGACATTGTGAATGGATTAATGGAATTTATTTACCAAAAAAGTAAACATATACAGCCTTATTCTACATAATTAAAAAACGAATCTTTATTTCATGATGGAATAACCTTTGGATGGTAATATATTTTCCCCAAAAAGCACTTTATTTAAAAAAATCCGATTTAAATAAAAAAAATCCGATTTAAATAAAAAAAATCGGATTTTTTTTTAGATTTTTTAAAAAAAAATCATTGATTTTTATCCACCCTGCTATATGGTTATTATTTGACTTTTTTTGAGTGCAGCACTCTTTTTGGTTTTTGTCTCACTCAGCGCAAATAATTTTTATATATAGTTTACAAGCATATACTTGTAAAATCAGTAGAGACCCGGAGTCAGCTGTACTTTTTTGTAAACTGCTAAATGCAGCGTACATTTTATCTGAGATGCAGCTGAGTATATTGTCCAGTTGATTTCCTATAGGGTTGCATTTAGATGCACACAAAACTATACACTGTACACATCTAAATTTTGTGAATGAGCCCATAAAGGTAAATTAGTTGGTAAGCTGATGTGATCCCAATAAAACTAAGCAGGTGTCACTCCTAGAAATGTGCCTGTAAAAAGGCATTGCAGAAGGGGAAAACAGGAAAATGCCATTAGTAAAGCATGAAGCAAAATTCCCTGATCAGGAAAAAGTCATGTAGGTCAGGAGTTTGCCAAAGCAGGTGACAGTTTGCCCAGAGTTTCTGATCACAGGGATATGGGCTAATATGTCCCCCCCAGGTCAAAACTGGGTATATGTGACAGTGTAGCACTGTTAGAAGAATTTGGTGTCATCCAGGGTTCTCACCCTTCTAGGTTCGGGGGGCTCGGATGTAGGAAAGTGGGCGAACAAAACCTTTAACTGCAAGCAGAACTCCCATGCACATTACTACTTGTGTACCCCAAACCATCTACTTTGCATTACAATACAGTGCTCTATGTATATCCTATCCACATTACTGCCCATGTACCCAAACCACCCACTATAGGAGGATAAAAGTACAGTGCTATATACAGAGTACCCATATACACTACCACCTGTGTACCCAAACCATCATCACTCTATACATTGTAATGTATTTTATTTACTAGCAAGCTATAAACAATGATATACACTATATTGCCAAAAGTATGGGACAACCCTCTAAATCATTGGATTCAGGTGTTCCAATCACCTCCATGGCCACAGGTGTATAAAATCAAGTACCTAGGCATGCAGACTGCTTCTACAAACATTTGTGAAAGAATGGGTCACTCTCTGGAGCTCAGTGAGTTCAAGCATGGTACCATGATAGGTTGCCACCTGTGCAATAAGTCTATCCATGAAATTTCCTTGCTACTAAATATTCTACGGTCAACTGTTAGTGGTATTATAACAAAGTGGAAGCAACTGGGAACAACAGCAACTCAACCATAAAGTGGTAGACCATGTAAAATGGCAGAGCGGGGTCAGCGCATGTTGAAGCGCACAGTGCGTAGAAGTTGCCAACTGTCTGCAGAGTCAATAGCTAAAGACCTCCAAACTTTGTGTGGCCTTCAGATAAGCACAAGAGTGCTTCATGGAATGGATTTCTATGGCCAAGCAGCTGCACCCAAGCCTTACATCACCAAGTGCAATGCAAAGCGTCAGATGCAGTGGTGTAAAGCACACCGCCACTGGACTCTAGAGTAGTGGGGACAATCTTCTCTGGCATGACAAATCACACTTCTCTGTCTCGAAATCCAATGGATGTGTCTGGGTTTGGTGGTTGCCAGGAGAACGGTACTTGCCTGACTGCATTGTGCCAAGTGTAAAGCTTGGTGAAGGGGGATTATGGTGTGTAGATGTTATTCAGGGGTTGGGCTTGGCCCCTTAGTTCCAGTGAAGAGAACTCTCAAGGCATCAGCATACCAAGACATTTTGGACAATTTCATGCTCCCAACTTTGTGGGAACAGTTTGGGGATGTCCCCTTCCTGTTCCAGCATGACTGTGCACCAGTGCACAAAGCAAGGTCGAGTCCTGACTTCAACCCAATAGAACACCTTTGGGATGAATTAGAGTGGAGAGACTGCGAGCCAGGCCTTCTCATCCGACATCAGTGCCTGACCTCACAAATGTGCTTCTGGAAGAATGGTCAAACATTCCCATAGACACACTCCTAAACCTTGTGGACAGCCTTCCCAGAAGAGTTGAAGCTGTTATGGCTGCAAAGGGTGGGCCAACTCAATATTGAACCCTACAGACTAATGCAGGCCATAGACGGGAAGAAAAACGGCCGATTTTTCTTTTAAAAAACGAAAAATCGGTCGTTCAAGCGGCCGACGTTACCAGCAATGGTAAAAAAAAATCGGCCGATTTTCATCCCGTCTACAGCCGGCAAAAAGTGTCCCTGCAGAGAGCTCTGCTATTTCTTTGACAGTTCCTTGACATTTACAGAGGTTGCAACAATGTATCTATTTGTATCCATTTAGGATACAGATGTTTTTATTCGGAAACAAATAGATACAATGTTGCAAACCGCTATAAATGTCAAGGAACTGTCAAAGAAATAGCGGAGCTCTCTGCAGGGACACTTTTTGCCGGACTGGAATTCCTCTTATTTTTCATTCTTCTTCTTCTTCTTCATCATCATCATCATCCTCGTCTTCTTCATCATCATCCTCTTCTTCATCATCATCCTCTTCTTTTTTTCTTCATCATCATCCTCCTCTTCTTCTTCTTCTTCTTCATCATCATCCTCTTCTTCTTCTTCTTCTTCATCATCATCATCATCCTCTTCTTCTTCATCATCATCATCCTCTTCTTCTTCTTCATCATCCTCTTCTTTTTCTTCATCATCATCCTCTTCTTCTTCATCCTCATCCTCTTCTTCTTCTTTCTATCATCATCCTCTTCTTCTTTTTTCTTCATCATCATCCTCTTCTTCATCATCCTCCTCCTCTTCTTCTTCATCATCATCCTCTTCTTCTTCATCATCATCCTCTTCTTCTTCATCATCATCCTCTTCTTCTTCATCATCATCATCATCCTCTTCTTCTTCATCATCATCCTCTTCTTTTTTTTCTTCATCATCATCCTCCTTCTTCTTCTTCATCATCCTCTCTTTTTCTTCTTCATCATCATCCTCTTCTTCTTCTTCTACTTCTTCATCATCATCATCCTCTTCTTCTTCTTCATCATCATCCTCTTCTTCTTCATCATCATCCTCTTCTTTTTCTTCATCATCCTCTTCTTCTTCATCATCCTCATCATCCTCTTCTTCTTCATCATCATCCTCTTCTTCTTTTTTTTTCTTCATCATCATCATCCTCTTCTTCTTCATCATCCCTCCTCCTCCTCTTCTTCTTCATCATCATCCTCTTCTTCTTCTTCATCATCATCCTCTTCTTCATCATCCTCTTCTTTCCTCATCATCATCCTCTTCTTCTTCATCATCATCATCCTCTTCTTCTTCATCATCATCATCATCCTCTTCTTCTTCTTCATCATCATCATAATCCTCTTCTTCTTCATCATCCTCTTCTTCTTCTTCTTCATCATCATCCTCTTCTTCATCATCATCCTCTTCTTTTTCTTCATCATCATCCTCTTCTTTTTTCTTTATCATCATCCTCTTCTTCTTCTTCATCATCATCCTTCTTCTTCATCATCATCCTCTTCTTCTTCATCATCATCATCATCCTCTTCTTCTTCTTCTTCATCCTCTTCTTCTTTTTCTTCTTTTTGTCTTCCTCTTGCAGGTCACTGCTCATGCGCAGATTTTTTATCCGTAAAAAATCGGCTGATTTGCCCATTATTGCCGCGAAAATCGGCCGATTTTTTTTCCAACTTTACCGATAAAAAAAATCTGCCAAAATACCGAAAAACGGCCGAACAAATAGCCCACTAACGATCTGAAAATCGGCCGATTTTATTTTCGCCCGAAAAATCGGCCGATTTTCGACCCATCTATGGCCTGCGTGTATGTTACATAATTCTGACCAGTGTTCATTGTCTCACCGATTGCTGGTTTTATTGCAGTTTCCTTTAAGGTAAGCTCAGACAAGGTGTTATCATTTTTTGGGTGCAGAAAAGCATATGTAATGAAAAAGTTTAATTTTTTTTTTTTTAAATGGTACCTTTATCCTGAGGTTTATGTATGTCTGTGAGATTGTCACCTGTTGCACAGTAATTAGGAGTATTTTCTAAATAGAATGGCTGTGGCATGTGTGCAGTGAATGAACACAGGTGATTGTGTAATCATCCCTCTTTAAAGCCATTCTTACTGTAAGACATAATCTAGCTATGCCCACTAGTCTCTCACATGTGCTATCCCCACATGGTTTTGAGTTTAATACCTTGAAGCACTTTCTTAGTAACCCCCCAATGTTTTGATCCTGCCATTGCATTAGAATATCCATTCCTGCCTATGAGGGGGAGGGGGGGGGGGGGGTTGTTCACTGCTGGGATGCAGAATATATGTCTCTCTATGGGGAGGAATGGAGAGCTTCACCACTGTCTGCAAGAGAGCTGACTAGAAGTCAGATGGGGGGAAATAACCTGTCCAGCCAATCAGAAAAATGTCATTACTCCAAATAGAAGGGAACATAATGCTGCTAGGAACCAAAGTCCCGGGCTAAGTTTCCTAGTCGGAGGACATTTAGGCTTACACAATTTCTCAATGGGAAGCAATGGTACGATGTTCTATCAGTAACTAAACTTTTTCCCCGTGTTCGGAGCCCAGTATGAGGTGACGGGTGGGCGGAAGATGGCCCTGGAGGCCTCCCTGGAAGAGTTCCGCAGACACTGGAGGGCGGAGATAAGAGGGGAGCCCACAGCTCCGGCCGGACCGACTTCCCCAAAGCGCAGGCGGTCAGGAGGGAGCCCAGAGCCTGAATACCAGAGCCAGGAGGACGGTGTATTCTGGAAATGTCTCCCCGGAATCTCCCGCCCGGGACACTGGGATAGCTGGGAGCCGCTACTTGCAGCTGGCAGAGAGTCTGCTGGATGACAGGCCGGACATTACTGCCGGGGAGGAGAAACCGGGAGGCCAGGAGGCCAGAGAGAGCCTGCTGGAGCAACTCATCAATGACCTGGTAATGTATATAGAATGCATACTGTGTGCTGCATTACCCCACCCACCAATCAGACGTCTGTACTACAACCCCCGCGTGACCGGACTTCTCCTGCGCTGCAACCCCCTGTATGACCAGACTTCTCCTGCGCCGCACCCCCCGGTGTGACCGTACTTCTGCATGCACTGCAACCCCCTGTATGACGAGACTTCTCCTGCGCCGCACCCCCTGTATGACGAGACTTCTCCTGCGCCGCACCCCCCCCGTGTGACTGAGACTTCTCCTCTGACGAGACTTCTCCTGCGCCGCACCCCCTCGTGTGACCGGACTTCTCCTGCGCCGCACCCCCACCCCCCCGTGTGACCGGACTTCTCCTGCGCCGCACCCCCCCCCGTGTGACCGGACTTCTCCTGCGCCGCACCCCCCCCCCCCGTGTGACCGGACTTCTCCTGCGCCGCACCCCCCCCGTGTGACCGGACTTCTCCTGCGCCGCACCCCCCCCCCCCCTTCTCACTGCGCCGCACCCCCCCCCGTGTGACCGGACTTCTCCTGCGCCGCACCCCCCCCCCCCGTGTGACCGGACTTCTCCTGCGCCGCACCCCCCCCCCGTGTGACCGGACTTCTCCTGCGCCGCACCCCCCCCCCCCCGTGTGACCGGACTTCTCCTGCGCCGCACCCCCCCCGTGTGACCGGACTTCTCCTGCGCCGCACCCCCCCCCCCCGTGACCGGACTTCTCCTGCGCCGCCCCCCCCCCCCCCCCCGTGTGACCGGACTTCTCCTGCGCCGCACACCCCCCCCCCGTGTGACCGGACTTCTCCTGCGCCGCACCCCCCCCCCCCCGTGTGACCGGACTTCTCCTGCGCCGTGTGACCGGACTTCTCCTGCGCCGCAGCCCCCCCCCCCCCCCCCGTGACTTCTCCTGCGCCGCACCCCCCCCCCCCCCGTGACTTCTCCTGCGCCGCACTCCTGCTGCCGCACCCCCCCCCCCCCCCCCCCCGTGTATCCCAGGAGGCTCTTGCTTTTGGCATCCACAGAGATCCATCGTCATGTCTGCTTACATATAGTTCTATGAATGATGGAAAGTAATGCCTCCTGGGATATGGCTTTGGTGTCCCAAGAAACATTGGTATAGTCCATTCATAGAGCAATGTGGAAATGGCTTCATCTTAGTCTGCACATGTATCATCAGCGGGCCGGCTGCAGGAACCAGGAGACAGCCGGCCCCTTGTGGTGCAGAGTTAGCAGCACAGCTCAGGACTTCTAGCAGAACAGGGGGGGGGGGGGGGGGGGGGGGGGGATGGATTGGTGAAAACCCTTGTCTGGTTTGTACTGCTTTCAGTCACTCCAATAGATTTTCTATCACATTTTTGTCTGGTTGGGACTAGTTCCAGTGGTAAGGAAGTGAAGGAAAATCTGTAACAAAGATGCAGGAAACATTAAATCCTGACAGGAGCCTTCGCCTTCTCTGCTAAAGTTGTCCACACTGATGATGCCGACACCGGGGACAAAGGACTGCTGGTGAACCTGGCTGTGGTGAGGACACCGCTGGATCCTAGGACAGGTGAGTGGCTGTTTTTTTAAAAGTCAGCAGATACAGTTTTTGTAGCTGCTGACTTTTATTTTTATTTTTTTAGCTGGAGACTTTACCTCCGCTTTAATTTCCCATCCTGATATTTACTGGCACTGGTGAAGGTCAGGGTCTCAAAGCTGCTCCTTGCAAGGCTATATCACTTGTGCCTTACAGTAAGATCTTCCTAAACTGCAAAATCATGCGAGATGGAGGTGTAAGGCTTTTTTTAACAGATGAGTGTCATATTGTATGGCACATGATGCGGTGCAAACGTCATTGGTGGGTCAGCGAGCACTGATGTATTTTCTGATGCACGAGGCAACAGTGTGCTGAGACTGGGGAAACAGTACAAGAAACGGCATGTAACAACTAATAGCTTTATTCATTTTACTAAAGGGATTGCATTAGTTGGTTAAAGCAGGGGTCTGCTCCAATGGGGCTCCAATGGTGCTCTGAATACCAGTTAGATCTCGAGAAATAAACCTCTCCGTTCAAAACTAGTAAGCTTAACATACAAGCTGGCAACCAAATGCCACTGCTATCACTTATTAGTGGTAGGTGTATCTGTCAGGTTTTTCATCATATGGGGTCACAACTGCACATATGCTTTTAGCTGGATCTCCTGAGAATTGGCACTGCTACAGTGATCCCTGCACTGCTCTGACTGGCTGATCCCAGAAATGACCCAGATTACAGGCAGTCAGTGGGACTATGTGGCTGCAGAGAGATTGAAGGAAAGCAGGTGCTAGGTGAGGGGGAACAATTGACAGGTTCTTTCGTGTGTGTGGTTTTTTTTTTTTTTTTTTTTAGAGGCTCCATTCACGCACACTTTCATTTTCCTGTTACAATTAGAGTCCTGCACCCAGGTATGGTTTTAAATGGTCAGAGAATTCTGGGGGTGACATCATTTTACTTCAGAAACATGAAATGGGGAAGGAAAGCCTTTTTTTCCCCAAGTGCCTCCTCAAAAGAAAAAGATTGTGTGAGCTGGGGAGGCCCCAATAAGATGCACAAAACATACTTAAAGCCCATCTCTAGGCTCAACACTTCTGCCCACAGGATGCCAGCCTCCTCCTCTGAAGGTCCCCCAGTGTGTATTTTATGCACTTCTTCTTTTTTTTTTTTTTTTTTTTTTAACCTTCAGGCCAGTCCTGTGGTGCTGCTGAGGCCTCTTTGCTTCTTTTCTGGGCTTGGTAGACCTAACTGATGCTGACTCTGCACCAATACGCGGTGACTGATGAGTGACATGGTGACAGCACCTCAGGGGTGGGCCAATGGCACCTGTGTCATAGAACCTTCAGTCTTCTGGGTCAAGTGGTGCTGGTTATCATTCAACCCAGAAGAAGGACATCTTGTGGGGACAAAGAGGTACTGCATGACACAACTCCTAATAGCAGCTCCTAATAGAAGGTATTAAGTTGCTTTTTTTTTTTTTTTTTTTTCCCCTTTAACACAGACTAGGACATTTTTTTTTTGTTTACAAACGATTTTATTGTACATAAGTAGACAGTAAAACAACAGCACAGTATGAAAGTGATATTGTCAACAAAAATATGGCACATTTGAACCGTACAATACATAAAAGTATATTAACATAAAAAAAGAAGATAGAGGAAGAAAGAAAAAGTTATGAGTGCATGAGATACATAAATGATAAAACAGATTGAGTGATACAGCTATCAACAATATATGTCAGCCATTCTTTACCGGGGATGTTGTCAAATCATGCAATAAATGTCTACAATCCTTCCATGACTCCCATTTTTTATCGTATAAGTGCATCTTATCCAGTAGTGTATAATGAATACGTTCCATAAGCATTACAGCGTCAATTCTGTGTAAAACAGAGTCCAAGGGTACAGCATTAGACCGCCAATGCAGGGCAATGGACCACAAAGTGGCAATACATAATGTATGTAGCAATCTCAGAGTGGCATCAGAGACCCCTGGGATATGAACCCCCAATAAACAGGTCTGTATAGACAACTGTATCGGGTTGCCCGATAGTGAGGTAGCCACCTCAGATATCTTACGCCAGATCAAAGATATGTTTGGGCAATCCCAAAACATATGGACCAAAGTACCTGTACCTGTGTAGTCTGGACGGAGTATAATACCATCTGGTTAAAACTTTAAGGGCCGTCTCACGAACCGAAAGAGATCTAGAGCTCTTGCATATATTATCCACCATGGAGTCCCAATCCTCATCCGAAAAAGTGATACCACAATCCTCCTCCCCCACCTCTGCCTGTACATAGGAGGAGCATGAAAAAGACAGATCAAAAATTGGTGATAAAGATCTGAAATAAGACCCCTACCTCTAGGAGAGTCACGGCTGACACGCTCAAAAAAAGAGATCGGAGAAGATGGGGTAAGGCCAAAGTGCGCATTAAAAAAGTGCCTAATCTGTCTATAACGAAGTTACTCACGAAGAGGAACATCAAATAGCACGCGCAGCATATCGAAGGTAATATAAGATCCTCCTCTTTGGAAATCAGACAATCTGATAAAGGATCGATCATACCACCAACGAAACATGTGAGGGGGAAGAGAAGGCTACAACAAAAGTAGGATCACCCAAAAAATGACACACCTGGGGGAATATGAGAGACTAAACTCAGCTTAGCCTTGTATTTGGACCAAAGTGTCAGTGAGTGAGTCACTATAGAGTTATGAAAAGTAAGCGATCGGGGGGAGATTTTAGACCCAAATTCCCGGTAAATAAAAAGGACGTATCGACTGAGACTCAAACTTAATCCATGGGATTTGAGAGTTAATAGTAGCCCATTGTGATAATTGCGCAAAACGAGCCGAGAGGTAATATAGCCAAAAGTTGGGAAGACCAAGACCTCCCGTCCGTTGTGAGCGAAGACTAGGACATTTTTAAGAAATACATTTTGGACCAAAGTATACTTTACACTCCACATTGTCTTTTCACAAAGTGAAAAACCTCTTAAGGTGCTCCAGGCAACAATTACAGGCATTATTAGAGGCTGACACATGCCCTGCTTTAAATAATGAAGTGTTATCACATCATATTACTAGTTAAAGTGGTTGTAAAGCTGAAGGTACTTACCTTCATGCATAGAATGCATGAAAGTAAAAAAACCTGTGTGCAGCAGCCCCCAGCCCCCTCAATACTTATCTGAGCCTCATTGCGATCCAGCAATATGAATGACAGCCTTGGCTGTCCCGGGTCTCTGCCTCCTCATTGGCTGAGACAGCAAGTGGAAGCCATTGGCTCCTGCTGCTGTCAATCACAGCCAGTCAGCTAATAAGGAGAGAGGCGAAGGAGCAAGCCGTGGCTGTGTTTGTGAATGAACACACAAAGCAGCAGTTGCCCCCACAGCAAGCTGCTTGCTGTGGGGGCACCCGACAGACAGGAGAAGCCAGGAGAGCCTGTGGGGGGACTGCAATCCATTTTAAGTTTCTATAATATGTATTTAGTTG